CACAGAGGATAAAACTAAATGAAAAGACTCAACTTATGTGGGCGGAGCAATTATCTCTAGCATCCACAGTCATGAAATCCATACAAAAAAATAATGGTTTCTTTATTTCATGTTCAACTTAAATAAGTAAAGTTTTACAAATAACGCCACAGTACACTTCCATTCTTTAAGTTGTTTTATTTGCAGCCGGACAACTGTTATTGTAAGAAATGTTACCATCTGTTTTGTGTGAAAAGATATAGCTAAAGTATCTAGTACAGAACATAAATATGTATATTGAATTTTGAATAGGCACTCCGTTACTTTGTTGCATTTGCATTTTCTCCTACAAACAAATCTAATAGTGTGCATTGAGACGCGGTCCCGGTCATTTCAATATAATTTGAGTTTAACGTCCAGTTGACAAATATAATCCCTTTTGTAATTATTGAGTGAGTCCATATTGTAGCAATTAACTTCTGACATAAATACGCAAATATTTTATTTGCGTGATACCCTTTATCTTATATTTATAACATAATTCAAATACACTGCTTGGAATAATAATCAGTAATATAAACAAACTAATCTTTTTTAATGATTTTAGAGTTGTGGAGCAAAGGGTGATTCCTACAACGTGAAGGCCTCTGATTAGACTATCGGGATAACTTTCGTGGCGCGATGCAGGATTAGTAATCATTCTGTAGTTTGGTGTGTTTCCGTTAGATGGCGTATTTTTTTTTTTGTTTTTCAATTTAAAGGGTTCAATTATATCAATGAGATATTTAAACTACTACTATTGTATATTGCAGAGTAGGATCACCAGAGTTGCAGGGTATGGAGAAAAGATTATTTTTGCAGCCTCTTCCTACTTAAAATCTCTTCCGGTTATAATAAAAATATTTTATAAAAAAAATAACTATCGATAGTGACACATTGTGTCAAGATGCTTTCCCATCACTATTGTATTCTCTAATCCCACATAAGCCGGGACGGGCCTGGATTTCACTATTTATTAATTTCCTATAGTCAACAGTCACGTTATATTGTAATCTTTGCTTTAAACTGTACGTAACAGTAAACGCTCACACAATTATATTGATGGTAACTACACCCGACAGCTCTGCTTCAATTATCGTTATTTTACAAACACTTATAAATTCAGTGTCAAATAGGGTATTTGGAAATTGATAGTTGCTCCAGTTGTCATCGGTTGCAGTACCAACCAGCCAAAGATAAGTAAATTAATAAATTTCGTTTTGTGTGACTTTCAGTTTCAATAGCTCTAAAGTCGAAACTAAAAACGAATTCATTATCGTCATAAACAACAGTCTTTAATAGTCTACTGCAGGACATATGCCTCTCCTTAGAAAGGAAGTCTTGGCCTAGTATACCAGGCTGGCCAAACGGGTTGGTATGGGATTTGCTTCAAGTTTTCATTGTCTTTGCAGGGCTGTTGTCGTGCGTAGTTTGCTCCCTTAGTCGGCTGTACGACACCCATGGGATGAATATCGATGGTTACACTCCGTACTCTTAATCCGTCACCACCGGATTTATTCATTAATTCATCAACAGCCTGTACTAGTTTACTGCTGGACATAGACCTCTCCGTAGAAGGAAGGTTTTGGCCTACTATACCACGCTGGCTAGACCGGTTGGTATAGGCTTTGCTTCAAGTTTTCATTGTCTTTGCAGGGCTGTTGTCCTGCGTAGTTTGCTCCCTTAGTCGGCTCTTACGACACAAGAGTCAATGTCAATTACCTATTGAACAATTTAAAATTGTAATCTAAATGATTTGATGAAAATCAGAACAGTGAAAATTTAACATCGTCATCCATAACAAACACACTTGAAGTAAATTAATATTTGGACAATAGTTGTTATTATTGTCTGGCTTGTTGGTTTAGTGGTTAGTGATCCTGACTACTAAGCCCGAGGTTGTGAGTTCGATTCACATCCAGAACAAATAATTGTGTGATGAGCAGTATCATTTGTTCTATGTCTGGACATAATTAATATATGTGATGTATATATTAGAAATATATAAGTTGATTTAAGGACATCAAGGTCATCTCATCGGTCAACAATTTAGGAAATGCTCCTTCAATATTTTTTTAAAGTTAGCGAGTGTTGGTGCTCATCTGATGGGCAGTGGTAATGCATTCCACAAACGTATAGCTTGCACAGTAAATGACTTATCATAGAAGTCGTAGAATTCCTCGGGATTTTCAAAGTCAAGTTCTTTGACGATCTTAGCAACCTTGAATGCGTATCATGTATGAATTTGAAGCGTTCTTTGAAATAAAGGGGACTGTCGGGATTGAAGAGTATATTGTATAATAGTGAAAGGATATGAATATTCCGGCTAAGATGAACGGGTAACCAGTTGAGCTTTTGCCGATGTTCAGAAACATGGTCAAATTTGCGCAATCCAAAAATGAACCGTATGCAAAAGTTTTAAAGCCGCTCAACCTTATTAAGTTGGTCCTCGGTGAGATCAGGATAGCTGGCATCTGCGTAATCGAGCACGCAGACGAAGTTACACAGCCTTCTCAGATTGTCCACAGAAGCAATCATTTTTTTACTGACTTCTTGTAGTTGTGGACCCCAGGACAAGTTTTTATCAAAATGACTACCCAGATTTTAGACGGTGTTCAAAATCAATGTATGTATATAATAGTTGAAAATTAGTTTATGTGTATTTTTATGTGTATATTACTGTGTGTATGTATAGTATTTTAATATATAAATATATGGATTCATATCGTCACATCTCTCTCCTTAGAATGGAGGTTTTGGACTACTATACCATGCTGGATATAGATTGTTAAAATGTATGTATGAAAATATAAATATTTCATAGGTTAAGACCTTATTTATTGCTCGAACTTGTATATACCTATCACCAGCTTAAACTGAATCCAGTCCATCCAAAGGTAGCCCCTTTTACATTATTACTTTATCATCATAATCATCATCAACAGCCTTTAGTAGTCCATTGGCTGGACAGAGGCCTCTCCTTAGAAAGGAGGTTTATAATGATTACAAATACTTAAAATGTCTGTCAAACCCTAGTGAACAGTTAAAATATTATCTATCAATGTAAATTTATGGATTCATACTAACAAGGTAGGTATGAATGCATAATACATTTATGTAAGCCTTCCAGACTAATATTTTAAGAAGTAATGGTTGATAAGTTTATACTTATGCCTCTGGGAGCACTTCAATTCGTGTCTTCCCTTATTACATTAGTGGTCAAGTCAAGTCAAGTCTCGTGGGTAGTATACACTTAGCTAAAATGATTGGTGCTGTAATCGTTATCTCAATTTGATATATTTCAAGGGTTATACAAACTAAAGATATTCAAATATGGTAATAATAAAAGTATCGAGAACTAGGAAGAATATTTTGATCACTGTATAAAACACGACAAAGAAACATACGTATACGAGTAATGATAAATCTGTTTAACAGTCAAGTTTCTTTATTTGATTATTTTATGGAAAGTAACTACCACTTCCGTTTGCGTAAATAATTAGGAAGAGGAGTTAGGTCTGGCTCCGGTAATCTCAGTCACTCGAAGAATAATTACAAAGGAATTTCTTAACAGCGGTCTCTGTAAAGGCTATCACTCAGTCGAGAAGGTCTATTTTTGCATGTTTTTATTTCTATACATTACATAATTACAATACATCGTCCGTTTGGTGACGGATCAAGAAAACGGAGTGTCACCACCCCTATTCATCCCGTGGGTGTCGTAAGAGCCGACTAATGGAGCAAACTATGCAGGACAACAGCACTGCAAAGAGAAGCAAAACTTGACACAAACCCTATACCAACCCTTCTGGTTAGCGTGGTACAGTAGGCCAGAACCTCCTTTCTAAGGATAGGCCTATGTCCAGCAGTGGAAAATTAAAGGCTGTTGATATGATGATGGTGTAGAAATTAGTTGACAGTGAAGCTCTCCATGGTTAAGGCACGGCATGAACATTGACTTTGACAGCTTCAACTTGACGTCCATATTCAAACTAAACATCACGTTTATAGGATCAACCTTTTCAACTTACAACAGCCAAAATTCAACCCTAACAGTTTTGCATAAAACACATTTCTATTTCTACGCATTACATTGTATACATAATGATGACTTTGTTAAAAACACAAAGGTATTCACATCAAAATAGATTTCATTTTCGAATGGAGTGTGACGATAGTGTTTGAACAGATAGACGTAAGCCTGTCCGCTATCATACGGCTTCATCGCATTAGCTTCACGTGTTACGAGGAAATTTTTGACGAATACAATGGGTATATTAGTTTGTTCGTGTAGTTGGTAATTAAAGAAAACCTCGGGCAGAAATAAAATTATTTGTATAAAGGTGGCGAATACTAGAGGCAGTTGAATTTTGGCCATTATGAATGTCTTGTTATAATCTATTTAGTGACCAGTATAATTTGAACTGCTATTGTATAGACTTGTGTACAAAGACAGACAAAGTTTAATGAATCAGTTTTGACATAATTTAACTCTTTGGCACATAATTTTTTTCCTTCTTTCCTATTTAAAATTATTTTTGCCTAGTTTTTCATTTTCCATGTTTATTAGCATAATGTAATATTATTGTTTTTACTGTCTGGTGATTTAACAGAGTGGTAATGAGTTTGTTTACTGGATGTATTTTCACAGGGCTTAATTGTTTTTTTAGAAAAAGTTGTTTTTAAATCTGCACAGGCAGACATAGTATTAGTTATTTTCCATTTTACATTTGACATAGCACATTTGCCTTCACCATACGAAAAGTCAATGGCGTACATTGTAATACTGGCTTACTTGGCAGACTTCCCACACATAAATAATACGAAGTTTAATTTGTCATAATTACGTTAGAGGTATTCCTCTAATAAGATTACGAGTACACTCAAACATCGGGCAAATATCGGCCTTTCAACAAAAAACGAATTAAACAGTAATTCAAGAAAGATTAAATCAAAAGATAAGTATTAATGTAACCACTCACCTCGGTCTCCTCGACGACGCTGGAAACTTTAGTGGTCCAGCAGATTTCCGCCTGTCCTTCACTACGGGCACCATTAACAGATCTTCATCATCAGTTTCTGAACACCCGCTGTCTAAGTTCACCAAAGCAGGAGCCGAACCCCTTCTACTACTGTCCTTAGGCACCTCCAACATTTCCCTAATCACTTCACAATATTTACACGCATTAGCCTCTGCCATATAAGCTTGGGTTATTACATACGCATAATTCTCCAAAAAACACTTATGACAACTAGGATCATAGGTCGTTTCAGCGTCTGTAGATTCCTCACTGGCCTGTTGTTTCATCTGAATTCTCTTCTCCATAGCAGCAAAATTAGTCTTCAATCTTTTCTTCTGTTCCTCTTTATGTTTCTTTTCTTCTTCTTCGAGTTTCTTCTGTCGTATTTCCTTCAAACATTCTGCTTGATCGTTATAGTACTCCACGCATTGTATTCTCGGACTGTCGTGCTTGGACGGTTTTGTAGGACTGCGTTTCTTCTTTTTAGTGTAAACATTTACGTTTAATGGCTCTATTCGCAATGACTTCATCTGTTTAATGATGTGCTCTTGCACGTACGGGTGGCTGTACGACACATCGTCACTAACCGTTTGATTAGAAGTCTCTACGTTCACTATTTTGGCACTTACATCGTTGTTTTTGTTTTTAGAATCTATCTTTTCGTGTTTACTAAACTCTTTGATGTCAGTATCTCCGTTCATTTTACGAGCGTTCTTTACAGTAAACTTTTGTGACGATGAATCTTCGTCCAGACATGTTTCGTAACCATCTATCTCGTGATCTATATACAGCAAGGCATTGTTTTCATCCTGGACGGAGATTCTAGTGGTTGCGTCATAAAAACTGATTGTATCTTCAACTGGGGAATTGAGACACTCTTTCCAACTTTCATCACTTTTAACTTTTTCTAGTTGCTTTTCAATTTTTACGCCGTTTTCTTTCCAGTATTTATCAAAACTAATCCTTTCCAAGCCTGTTGGAGTAACAGCAAAAACCATTTCATCCGACGTAGAAATTTCTTTACTTTGCTGTTTTGAGAGGCATTTTTCTCTATCCTCATCTCTTCTATCAACAGATTTGCTCCTACTATTAGTTAATTCTCTAGGTGCTACTAAAACATCGTCTTCAGTTATTGTCATATCATCATCGTGATCATCCAAAGACTCATCAGATTTCGATGACTTCATTTCACTTATTCCGTTAACCTTAATTTCATTTGTATCGTCAATGATGATTTCTTTTTTTATCTTTTTATAGTCATCAAAACTGAAATCTCCAAGAGCTGATAACTCGTCATCTTTTATCGAAGCTTCTTCAGGTTCTAAACATATTTGTACTACTTCTAACCCTTCTCCGTATTCTTGGAGGCATTCATGGAAGGAATCCATTCCAGTGTGTTCATCTGACGCTAACGAGTTAATACATTCCTGTGAAGGAACAAAATATTTTCGATCTTTAGAAATTCATTAAAATAATTAAGGAATGTAGTATTTTAGTAATTATTCTCATAAATTGTAAAGCTTTAGGGCTTTGTAAGGCTTTAAAAGATCGATATCAAGAGAGGCAAATTCATCGTAGAATAAGTGAGCGTTGAAAAAAATTAAACATAGATTCTTTTTCAACTATAAAACACCTAAAAAATCAGATAGTTTAAATAAAACACAGCAATAATGTGTGGTATTTATATTTAGCAGACACAACAAAGCGTAAACACTGAACACGGACATAAGCGTTAACGCACAATATACTATACTCTACATAAACAATATGTTTGACGTAACAGATTTAGTACAAGGTTTACAGTAACGTAGAGTTATTATGAGACATTTCAAGTACTTATGAAATGCATTATAAATCTTTTTGAACGATTTCTGAAATTCAGATTTTGTAATAAAAAAAGAGAAAATTTACTAACCTACAATAAAGGAAGGTTGGGAAAGATTTGGGTCTTAATTAGACCGTATTATGTGGAAATAATCCAACTTATAAATTAGTCAAAGTGATTTTTATATTAATAAAGTTAATTTTATCAATTAACTTTTCGTTGCTATTCCAGACTATAATCTATCTCTGTGCCAAATTGCATGCCAAACGGCTCTACCGTTCGGGCGTTATTGAGTACTAAATATCCAGACATTCATCTCCACAAACTTTCGGGTGTGTAATTTTAATGAGATTCTTGGACAATTATTTAAAGAATCAATTTAAATTATAAGTGTTGAATACCTTTGAATATTCAACGAACATCAAAGCTAGCTTGTGACCACGTCAAGTGAATAGGTCAATTTGATTTACTGCTTTTTTTAATATACGAAATTAGGAATACATTTTGATCAAAGCACTTTTACTATAATCAAAAGACGGATGAACGTAGCTCATAATAACTCTTCGTTAATATTATAATATATTATATTAACCTCATTTATAATAAAAATAAACTCATCCAAATTATTCTAGAAGTAGTAGACGGTTACATTAAAATGGACATTTTACGAAAAGTTTAAAAGCTGATAATATCTGTAATAGAACGTAATTACTACACAGTCTTCTTATTACAAACAATGATAATAATTATTAACATTTTTATAAAATTATATATTTTTTATAATTTACATAAATTGTTTTGCAATGCTTAAAACTATGATATGTTATGAATTACCTGTAGGTAAATGACTTAATTATACAATTACAAGCCAAGCATTATATTATAATTATTTTTTTAAATTGACAGAATATTATCCATGCCAACATGCCATTGTGTAAAATGTTTTATTAGATTCTCAATTTATGTTCGTTTTCATTTCTTCTTATATACTTCTCACATGATCAACTCTGCAAGTTTACCATTTTATTCGATTTACTACATATTATGCCATACATACTACATACATCTAACATACACTTGTTTTTTTGAATAATATATGTATAATAAAATATTATTACATATATTATTCAAAAAACCAGTCACAAATTACTACTTGACATTGTAAGGGCTGTTGAAGGGATATTGATTGTTTGTTAATACTTCACAGGTTAAAAACCATTCGTGTATTAAAATTTATAACCTTTGTATGTATTGGATTTATATGCGTTAGTAGTATGTATCATCATCATCAGCCTATCGCAGTCCACTGCTGGACATAGGCTTCCCCCATTGCACGCCACTTAGATCGATTTTGGGCTTCTCGCATCCAGCTCCTGCCAGCCATCTAGTAGTAGTAGTATGTATATTGTAAGCGTATTTAGTATGTTTACTTTTATATATACCTATTAATTTTCTTAGGTGTTATAAAGTACACCATAGACTACCTTAAATCAGATTAAACAATATCCGTGTAAAGGTTGTCTGTAAGAGATCGCCGTGAACGATAAGACCGCCTATTGTTATACCGAAATGTAAATGTCACTCCATGTCTGTACAATATATACTGTAGCGGTGTACTGTAAAGATGTATAAAAAAAACGACGGGTTGCACTCCGGGAGTGCCGGCAGAAGTGAAAACTTGAATATTAACGTTGTGCATTTTTGATATTTTGGAATGGTAAGGGAATAATTTTGCACGAATTGCTTTAATTATCAGTATAAAAGTACTATCATTTATGTGGTAGAATACAATATTTATTTATTGCACTATCGTACACAAACACGTAATTAGTAATAAAAAAAATTACCCATTTCAAAAAAGTGTACAACGCCGCTAAAGAAGTTTTCACTTCAAAAATAAATGACACAAATGTAATCGAATATGTATTAAATCGAATCGAGAATCATGATGGACAATATTTACAAAGTGCATAACTTTTTAGTTACCAGATTTATAGGTCGATTTCTAGTGACTAGTCTCGTTAAATTACGAGTTTTGGCAACTACCCGCTCTTACACTTCATTATTTTTATTTGCTAACATAATAGTTGTCACTGACTAGTAGTTTAATATGCTTTGACTTTCAATATATCTATGAGTGACTAGAGAGACCCTCACACATTCAAATTGACCACTAAAACATTTAGCTAAGTATAATAAATACACATTAATTTGCAGCTACACAACCATTATATAAATAGACATCAATTTCTCTGATCACAATTATTTTCTTTATTAATTATTCTGTAGATTTTTGTGCATAAATCTATTAGATTGTGGATTATTTGAGTACAGTTTTCTATTAAAGAAACAGACGTATTCATTTATAGATAGAGGGCTCGGACTCTTTCTTTTATGGTGGTATAAGGGGGCAAACGAGCTGACAGGTCACCTGATGGTAAGCAACTACCGCCGCCCATGGACACCTGCAACTCAAAAGTCACAAGTTTGCTGCCCTTGGAGTCCCTCCCGCTCGAGTCAGCGTGAGGGATTTGGGCTCCGGTAACCTCACTCACTGAGTGAAAGGCAACGAAAGAATTGCTTAACACCTGTTTTCTGTGAGGTCGTGGTATCACTTCGGTCGAGCCGGCCCATTCGTGCCGAAGCATTGCTCTCCCACGGTAAAACTTCCAGGATATAGTCACTAAGAGTTACAGGTATAAGACTCCAACCTTCTATTGCAGACACTTCCCAATCAACTACTTTTCAACTACCTTCTTTATGCCTTCATTTCCCTAATACTTCTAATTTTCAATTTTCAGTGTCCATTATTACGTAAGTGGCATCAAATATTTTGTGTTTAATACACCTTTCTATTACTTGTTGAAATCGGCTTTAACGTATGTTTGTCTTAAGTCCTGTTTCTTTTAATAGTACTTAATAATACTATGAAACAAATAAATAATAACATGGGAGTCTGTGATCGTAATGTCATTCAATGTTTTTTAATATGCACATTGTGTTATTGAATAAATAATTGCAGAGTATCATCATTATCATCATCAACAGCCTCTAGTAGTCCACTGCTGGACATAGGCCTCTCCTTAGAAAAGAGGTTCTGGCGTACTATACCACACTGACCAGACGGGTTGGTACAGGATTTGTTTCAAGGTTTCCTTCTCTTTGCAGTGCTGGTGGTGACAAACTGGTGGCTCGCGGATTTTGCGATCGGGCCACAACACACATTGATTAGGCCGATAGGCGTGGGGAAGCCTGCTTTCCCCGGGATAGGGCTTGGCTAGGCGCAGCGTCGATCCGGGGGGGGGCTGAAATAACATGGTCCGGGTCCTCCCCAGAGCAGGGCGCCTGAGACCGGCTGTCGGGGTGGTATTTAGTGGAAACACCACATAGTCTGGCTCCTGCGTCCCCGAGGAGCCAGAGTATGCCTCAACAAAAAAAAAGGAATTACCAACATGACAAAGTAAATAATTCTATTGCTATTTAATACACATTATAACCAGCGTTACCTAGTTAATAATCTATTCTATTAGTATATTTTTAGTGCAGCATTTTTAATCAAGCCTTAGGAGGTATAAACATCGAGAATCACTCGTTAACCTTTTTGTTTTGACATGTTACTACAAAGATTGGAGGTTAAACATTTATGCAACTTTAAATATGTTTTAAGCTCGCCTTTTAAAAAAATGGACGCTATCTTTAAATTTGTATTGTTACTATTTAAGTTTTCAAGGCTTATTAATTATTTTTATCTATTTTAAGTTTTTTTTTGTTTTGGCAAGAGTTATAAAATTCAATGTTTTTTTACATTATTCTAAACACGATTTTAACGAACACGCACGCATGGCAATAAATTGGAATGTTATGTTTGTAAAATTTCAAGAAATTCTTTAAATATATTTTACCACTTATACATTTTTTTATGCGACACATCTTTTTTTAAGCACATGCTTATTTTTATATAAACCCTTTAATATTGGTATCCTTACAATAAAACGATTACTTTAATCATCATCTTCTCTAAGCATTAAGCATCTACCATCTCTCTCTTGTCTTCTCTATAATAATATATATATAGAGAGATCTATCAAAACAGTTGTCTCAAAAAGCCACATTAACAACAACAAAAAGAACAATTTTTTCTTTCGGCGTTCATCTTTTGCATCGCTGTTTTATAATAAATAGTTCGTTGCTTTTAATCCAACAACCGATTGATCATAACTGTTACGAAGCTTGAACGTTAATTAATCTATCCCCTTTTTACTATTAGGTAGCTTTCCTTCTTACCTAGTTTCCCTTTCATTTTACTCATAATTTTCCCATTTCTAAATATCCTAAACACCCATTTCACGGCACTAGGCTTGCCACTAATTTGGCCTCAAAATATAAATGACACAATGTGGGCGTTATGTACGCCTCTGTCCATCCCTTCAGCGATTTAGGCGTGAGTGTGTGTACTCTACTCGTACTTTAAGTAATTGATTAGACTGTATTGAAAACAAACAAAAAACAAATATTGGCACTCATCATAAAATATCAAAATTCCTAACAGTTTTATAGTTTAAAAGCCTTATCTCCTAAGCTAATGTTTTTTAATTTATTTCTATATATATAGTATATATATATCAATCTCTCTTTTATATTAAATTACTTTTAAAATCTTGATTTTATCTGATGATTACTTAATCAATCACTCATTTTACTACATCAATAAGAAGTTGATATTCCATCCTAAGTGTACTGAGTTTTAGGAACAAATAAAGTGATATACTCTTGAGAGAAACAAATCGTAGTCGCATTTTGAATTGTTATTTTTAACAGCAGAATTTTAATTTTATGGAGTAGTGAACATGCTTTCGAGCATGCTTCAAATGAGCTCGATTGATGCAATGAAACCGAATATTTCCCAACATCGTCAAAGAAATTTTATTACGAAGAGGTTACACAAAACTAAAATTTAAGAAATACGTTACGTTGCAGAAAACAACGATGTTTACTACTATTTTTTGTTTTAAAATAAAATATATTTTTTATATGTAACACTAACTGGTACCCGAGACTTCGTTCGCGTAAAATTTGAAAAGCCCGCTTTTCAAATTTTACGCGAACGAAGTCTCTGCGCTGCCTTGGTGAACCCACCAAGGCAGCGCTTTGATTCCCGGACCGGGCAAAATTTCAAAGGGTTTTTCTGAGAGGAAAAATAGCCTAAGTTACTCCTTATATAGACTGCTACCTAGCTATATATCAAACAGACAGACAGATAGACAGACAGACAGATTAAAAGACAGGTTTTTAGGCATAGGTATCCTGCAAATAGCCGTGTGAGCATTAAACAAACCTATTATTTTGACATTACAAACAGACACCTCAATTTTATTTATTTGTAGAGATTACTTATGAATATGATATGAAGTAACAAATAAATTTAATTCCTGGTATTACCTGGTATTTAATTGCCTATTAAACACAATTTATATTTTTTTACTCCTTACATTTCTAAGTGTCTTTATGTGACCAGAGTTCAATGCTCTCTACAAGCGACTCCGACGCAAAGCATAGCTCCAAAAAATTGTAGCAGCGTTGCTCTTCCAACCATTATATATTGAACTCATCTATTTCAAGAAGTTCTTTATCAGAGCAGTTTCCCTTATCTGGCACTTCTACACTGACGGTATACTTCATCCTGTCTTTTTGTCATTTCATTGTAATTTCTGCCTTGATCTTGGGCGTAACTCTGAAGGGGGCAGGAGGGTCTATCATATCATGCACACATTGCACTTGAAGCCCCATGATATCACGATGCAGAGACATTATGAGGCGAAGGATTTTCGTGAAGTACTCTAGTTTCTGAAAACAAAACAAATTCATGTTACTTAACTCAGTAAAAGTAATTTTTTTTATGATTATTAAAACAAATCCAGTTTTATTTATTAAAGCATGCGAATAACAAATATTGTACACTAAAGGGAAATATATTTTTTTGCGGCAGAATTATTGTTTTTATTATTTAATAAAACTTAAACCTCTTAGAGCGGTAAATTTATTCCCTTTATTGTACAAGAAGGTAAGTAATGTTGTATAAATATGCATGCTACTGATTAAGACAAATACTGCTCTAAGCGTATTATAAGCTTTAATATAGAAAAACTTAACTTACTTTAATTCCCCTCAGTGTACAATATCACTGCACTTGATATTTAAATAATTTTAAATTTTTGTGACTGAGTTTTAAACACAACTTTAGATTTTCAAGGTGAAGAAAGATTCTTTCTAAATTAAACATATTATTTTAAACACATAGAAAGTCATACATATAGGTTTTTTCGTTTCCTTTTCTATAAAACACAACTCCCGCACTACGAATATATCCTGTATTGCGCAGGCCTTTTACAAACATTCATAAAACGGACAAAAATAATACCTAGACTCAGAACAACAATTGTGTTGTCCCTTGTGGGATTCGAACCCACAACACTCAGAGCTGTAGGAAGGTTAAGCCATTACGACATCCGTGCAGTCAATTTTATAATGGTAAGTTTAAAAATAATCTTGTTAGCTCAGTATTGTGCTTTATAAGAATCAGCACTGATATTAAGCCTAAACCAAATATTGATTAATTAAATTCTTCAACAGAGATAAAACAAGAAGCTATAATATAAATAACACACGTGGTACCTTTAAGGGAGACCAAAAATCTCTTTTGAAATTGAATAAAGAAGGAAAATGGTAATTACCTGGCTACTCTGCACACTAGGACCATTGGCCTTGTCTCCGCCGACGACGGTACTGCACGGTAGAGGTTTTGCTATGCCTATGGTTACAATTCCTGTAACAAAAACATGTTTGTTTAATTTTTTATTGAAGTGTATGGGTCAAATGACGGGTCACCTGGTGGTAAGTGACCACCGCCGCCCATGGACACCTGCAACTCAAGGAGTGCGTTGCATTCCTTTGTGTGATCGTGCAACCTACCCCCCTCGAATTAGAGGTGAGGGTCAGAGAGGGTTGGTCCTGCGGCAATCTCACTCAATCGGTGAAAGCAACAAAAGAATTACTTAAAACCGGTTTCCTGTGAGGTCGTGATATCACTCCACTCTTAAATAAAAAAAATATGTTTGTCAGCTCCGACGCACGACTGGAGTTTACTTGTTAACACTGCACACAAGTATACAAGTTATTCACACACACGTGAAAAGGTGCGCACGATAGGTTGCGCACAAAAAACTTGACGAGGTCATTCGATCACTAAATTTTACTCTTCATATATTTTTTTATACCGGGCGCCTTATATGAAAATCGATTCTTAAGGAGTAAGCCCCATAAAACAATTTTGTTACTTCCCAAACACAATCACTTCAATGACATAGTATCTACAGACTTCATATAATCATCTATAGATCCAAGCCATCTGCTGTTTCTTCATCAGAAACTTATCACTCCTAATAAGCAACATATACCGTGACCATTATATTTACCACATTGTGACGTCATAGTATCCTTTTTAGTATTAGCACTAATATACCCAAGATGTCAGCAACTATTCTCAAATATAGACAACACGATACTGCAAATGTTCTGCAAACTGATTACACGATGTACGTTTGTACAACATAACATCAGTAAACTTTATGATATCATGAATACATCTGATAACTCTGTTTATTTTCGCATTTGGAGTTGTGTAACAAGAGGTATGTTTTACATTGTGAGTGTTACTTTTAATATTGAAATTATTGTTTAGCAATTTTTCCAGTAAAAGTTTTTTTTAAATTAATCATCATTATTATCCAGCCAGCAGCATTGCAAAGATGTTAGGATGGTTTTAAGGTTTTTAGGGGCTCGTGGCTAAGTGGTGAGCGAGTAGCTCATTAGATGGCTTAGCATTCATAGTGACGTCAGTCTATGGATGGGTCACGTTAAGCCGTCGGTCCCAGTTGCCAACGAACATCTGTGGCAATCGTCACAACTCGTCGCAAATCGTCACAACCAAACACAACCTAAGGGTCCAACAACCTTTAAAAATTACGACAACAGTCTCTCTCTACAGAACTTCGATATCACCTAGTACTTGGGTTGTGGAGGTCTGATGGCACTCGCTCCGCGTAAAGAATCGAAGTTCAGCCGTATCGTGAAAAAAGGCTCGGAGGAAGGAAGGCATACTTGACGCTAACCCTCCTATTTATATTATATTTTCTTTATAAATAGAAACAAAACCTACTTCATGATTATTATGACGGGCCTGTTGGTCTAGTGGTTAGTGACCCTGACTGCTAAACCGGAGGTCGTGGGTTCGACTCCCACCCAGGACAAATATTGTGTGATGAGCTCGGTCATTTGTTCTGTGTCTGGGTGTAATTTATATATAATATAATATGTATCTATTTAAAAAGTATAAATGTATGTTTATCAGCAGTCTGGTTACCATAGTACAGGCTCTGCCTAGTTTGGGATCAGACGGCCGTGTGTGAGTGTGTGAGATATATTCTTATTTTATACAATACAACATGGAATTCTACGACAATGGGCGAAGATATAGCATTAGCACATATAGATGTGCTACTGTCAGTGTGGCGTCGGATTAAGAATACAGAGCGTCGCCACCCCTATTCATCCCGTGGGTGTCGTAAGAGCCGAGTAAACTTCGCAGGACAACAACACTGCAGAGAGAAGGAAAACTTGAAACAAACCCTATACCAACCCGTCTGGTCAGCGTGGTATAGTAGGACCAAACCTCCTTTCTAAGGAAAGGCCTATGTTCAGCAGTGGACAGTATTAAAGGCTGTTGATGTGATGTGATGATGACATAGAGATATTAATACAACATTCGTGAGTTCAGTAGACGCATCGATGGCAATGACACACAGATCAGTATCTACTTTCTAAAATGTGTTTGAAACTATAATAGGGAACCTCTTAAGGAATCTAAAATTGATTACAGAGGATAACAAAATAATCTATATGGTTTTGTAAAATTAATAATAATAATAGTAATCTTCTACCACAGTCACACAACGCCATCTAGTCCCAAATTAAGCAGAGCCTGCACTATGGCTACATAAATACATATAAACTTTTTTTTTTGTAAATACATACATATTATACATAGAAATACCCAGACCAAATCAAACATTAAATGTTCATGCACACAAATGTTTGGTTTGAGTGGAAATCGAACCCGTGACCTTTGGAATAGCAGTCCGTTACACAAACCACTACGCCATTCGGTCGTCAAATTAATTCTTACACATCTCTATCTAAACCTCGCTATTTATCTTGCCTATTTATGTTAGATATAACTGATCTTGTTATTACTGAGAGATTAAAAAATATTTATGTAACTTAACATCAGTGAGTAGCTTTGTAAAGTCTTTTCATTTTAATTAAGTGCATGTTCATATAAGGACATATGTATCTTTTGGCAGGCTCGACTGGAATGATACCGTGGTCTCGCAGAAAACTGACGTTACTTTACACCGAGTGAGTGATATTACAGGGACCTCAATTCCTCTTCCCTTTTTTTAATGGAATAGGGGGCAAACGGGCAGACAAGTCAACTGATGGAAAACGACTTCCGACGCCCATGAACGCCTGCAACTCAGTAGTCACAAGCGCGTTGCCGGTCTTCGAGGAATAAGTGCCGCTCTTTTCTCAAAGGTTTGTAACGGTCCGAAAATACCGCAGACGATAACTTGTTTCACAGATTGGTTTTGCGAGGCAAAAAGCGTCTTGAGAAGTTCAAAGAGTATCTATGAGTGTCGGTAACCATTTTCCATCAAGTGACCCGTCTGCTCATATGCCCTTAATACTATTTAAAAAAAGGTATTTAGGAACTTATTGGATCATATCTGGTACCAAGAGAGGTTTCCCTTTTAATAAGAAATTGAAGTAAACAGCAAATTTTGTCGGATATATCTTTAATTCGATTTACATTATAGAGGACCGAGGTCCGTGTGGTGATTGGGTTTAAGAATACGGAGTGTCACCACCCCTTGTCATCCCGTGGGTGTCGTAAGAGCCGACTAAGGGAGTAATCTACGCAGGACAACAGCACTGCAAAGAGAAGTAAAACTTGACACAAATTTTTAATCAACCCGTTTGGCCAGCGTGGTACAGTAGGTCAAAACTTCCTTTCTAAAGAGAGGCCTATGTCTAGCAGTGGACTATTAAAGGCTTTTGATGTGATGCGATATTATAGAGGACAAGTCTGTTGCTGGAGACTGGACACTCGAGAAGTTTAATGGGCAAAATTGATTGGATATAACGCAAGGAAAGATATATTAGAGGATACAGGGACATTCCTTACACGAATGTAAGGGGAGTGTGAGCTCGAGTAGTTAGTTAGGGTCGTATGCCTGAAATTCGGACTCGCCGTTGCTGGGAAATCTGAGTTTTCTGACTGATTGGCTAGTTCGAAGATTTCTCGTACTTAATTCATAATTTTACAGACCTATATTATAATAATATATTTGTACATCTAAATCACAACGTCATATAGTTTCAAACTAATTAGAGCTCGTACACGAAAGCTAGATCGACTTTTTTTGTAAATACATACATATTATACATAGAAAACCCTCAAACTCTGAATCGTAGATCATACAAACATCAAACACAACAGTTGACAATATAGGTGTGGCGTTCGTGAGGTGGAAACCTCCTTTCTAAGGAGAGGCTTGTGTCTAGCAGTGGACCATTAAAGGCTGTTGATGTTGGTGAGGTACCTTTGGGCGCGGACTTGATGGCGGCGACGGCGTGCGCGAGCGGGCTGCGCGCCACGTCCCGGCCGTTGACGGCGACGAGCCGGTCGCCCGGCGCCACGCGCCCGTCCGCCGCCGCCGCGCCGCCCGCCACCACCGACCGCACCACGATCACCGAGCTGCCCGGCTCCGACGGGTCCTGGACGGGACCGTTACGTTCATTACTCGTTCATTACTTTGTTTGTAAAGCCCCCAGCGACACAGGATTTATTCCTAGTGCAAAAGTTGTCTTTTTTCAAAAATAAAGGTAGTAAATACATTAAAAAACATCCAACACATTTGCCATTTAACTCATGACGTGCAAATTCCTAATAATTTACATAACAAAGATTACTACATTAATACAAATGCAATAAAATACAAAATAATTTAATTAAGTATACATTTATTACGATAGATCAATCATCAACCCAATAAATAACTCTATAATATTATTTGAATCTTTAACAAAGTAGAAACATCTGTCAATAAGCCATTTGAACAATTATTTCTTGAACTTTTTAATAGGTAAAAGTCTAGCATTTTCGGGTAAATGATTGTAGATGCACACTGAGATTGCATAACTATTCCGATTACATATTTCGGTTTTTATTGGCGAAAACGCAAGATTATTACCAACCTTCGCTACCCACTATAGATAACTTGAATCGAAGAATGTGCCAGGAACTATGACCGAGTAGTTTTTGTAAAGACGAACTTGTTCAAGTTGTTCTGCTTCTCAGATTGAAATTGTATGGGTCAAATTTTTGTAACAAAATCAAAAATATGATTAAGAGCGAACACCTCGAAATACAGTATAAACATAACACTCCAAATGAAAAAAAAAACACCTTGTTTTAAAAAAAATAACCCAAAACTTTTGTCTTACAATATACTTAACAAAAAATTGCGTGCTGTTTCATCTTTTTTTTTAAATTTAAAAAGACAACTTCCGCACTAAGAATATATCCTGTGTCGCGGAGGACTTTACAAACATACATGGACACAAAGTACACCCAGACTCAGAACAACAAAGTGTTGTCCCGTGTGGGGATCGGACCCACAACACTCAGCGCAGTAGTTAGCAGCGAGGTGACTGCTTAAACCACTACGACATCTATGCAGTCAATCAGTCAAAGCCACTATTGATTGTGTCTTTGCCAATAATGCAAGTATATCTATGTGTATGTTATGCTGGAACATACCAGATAGTCCAATATAGAAAAACCGAGCCCCCTATCTTCCTTCACCAGCTGTATGTATTCCACGTGGTCACTCCACATCGCCAATCCGCTCAAAGGTTCCAAAGATCTCGACCGAACACGTTCCAGATCTTCTGTACAAAACTCTGAAACGAACGAATGAACTTTGAAATATTTTGGACTAATATCAATACAAATATTGAAAGTGAAAGAAAGATAGCAAAAAATGAACAACTATACTGCGTGAATTTATTTAATATATTTTTAGCTTTTCTCGTTCTAAATTACATTTTTCATTTTAAATCTTTACAATTTTTGTACGACATTTATGAAACCTTGTATTTTGGTATGCCACTGGATAGATTTTGAAGAAAAAAAATGTTAAAAATCTGCTATTTTATTTATTTTTATATATCCAGTGGCACTCTCACAATTAAGACGAATATAACAACACTGCTAACACCAAAATCCATCAACTCGTTTAGGCTATAGAACGTAGCAAAGAAATAATTAAAGGCAGTCAGGTAAAAATACTAAGCTTCAGGGCAAAATGTTGAGTATTACCGTCATGATCATGACCTGCGGACATGACAGTGGTAGCGCTGCACAATGATGCTACCGAACTCTCCGACTTCGCCTTGATCAGTCGCTGAGGAGGACTTAGAAGATCCTGAAGACTGCCACCCAGGATGTTACTCTGTGAATTTAAATAAAAAGGTTTTTTTTTAACAGGATTTTTTCTACCGTGCCCCATTTTATACTTATAATGACATAGTCAAACTGTCATACGAAAAGCTAGCTGTGCTTAATAGAGCGCAGAAGTACCACATTGCAAAGATGGGGATGTCTGATGCTGATCGGATGCTGTATTCTCTCTTAATTGTCGTCAACATACATCTCGTGTTTTATACCAGGGTCAGGTGGTGTCAGGATTGTCTGCTTTTAGAAAACCTACCGGTACCACTCAGTAAAAATTGTTCAACCAATGCTGCGCAAATCGTAAGCAATTGGCCCTTGTGTCCATAACAAAACATGAATTCACATTCGATGACTCATGTTTATTTAGTTCACCGTTCTTACATCATCATCATCATCAACAGCCTATAACAGCCCATGCTGGACATAGGCCTCTTCTTAGAAAGGAGGTTTCGGCCTACTATACCACGCTGACCAGGCGGGTTGATGTAGGGTTTGTTTCAAGTTATCCTTCTCTTTGCAGTGCTGTTGTCCGGCTCTTACGGCACCCACGGGATGAATAGGGGTGGTGACATTCCGTATTCTTAATCCGTCACCACACGGAAAAATTACACTCAGTGTTATTTGACTGGCCTGTTGGTATAGTAGATAATGACCCTGACTGTTAAACCAGAAGTCGTGAATTCGATTGCCACCCAGAACAATTAATTGTGTGATGAGCACAATCTTTTTTTGAGTGTAATATGTCTGTATTAAGATTTATATAAATATGTCTATTAGTCAGTCTGGTTACTATAGCACAGGCTCTGCCTAGTTTGGCATCAGACGACTGTATGTGATAAGTGTATGATTATTAATTTCTTTATGGATCTAATATTTATTTATTATAGTCTTACCCTAGCAAACCCGTTATCAGGAAGTCGACCGTCTCCAATCAAGTGATCTCTCTTTCGGACAACGATCAGGGATACGGGAGATATCACCGCTCGCAGCCTGGTCACCACCTCCACGTGATGAGCGCCTAATACTCGCCAGCCGTTCACCTGCAGCATAGTTGTTGCAATTTATGACCAATTTTTTTATTAAACTGATGGTGTAGAATTGCTATGAATATGTTAATATTAACAGAAAAGTAAACGAACAGCTCACGACCAATATTCATTTTTTACGCATCTATGATACAGAAACTCATATTCAAAATTATTTAAACATTAAAAAACGAAAGTTTGACACACAGGAACCTTATAAGGTACATCAAAATCCTAAACGAGAAAGTGTAGAATTTAAAATAAAATGTTTCTCCCTCGAGTTATTTTCTCATTCATACTTTCCCACACGTTTCTGTACTCAAAGAAGAGAGAAATTCGGGCTAGATGGAAAGGATTCTTTGGAGTGCTTTTTTCTTTTTTTTTTTAAAGACAACTCCGGCATTAGAAACATATCGTGTGTCGCGGGAGACTCCACAAACATACATGAAACATACATACATGAATCTGGGGTTTGAACCCACAACACTCAGCACAGTAGAAAGCGGCGTGGCGACCGATTAAACCACTACGCCATCCGTGCAGTCAAGTTTAAACCCGCCAACTTCACACTTAGATTAAATAATTTCAAAGTGAGTCAAATCACTTATAATTATAGTTCTTACCTCCAGTAATTCGTCTCCGACTCTGTACATCCCCGACCTGGCGATAGGCCCATTGGGCGCAATGGCTCTGATGTAATGTCTGGCTTGGACCTCCTTCCCGCCAACCACACGGACTGTGCCCTCGAGGGAAATACCCAGGCCGCTGTCTTTCTCCTTTATTACTGTGCCAACCTACGGGAGATTGTGGAAACATTAATTAAATTTATGCAGTCTCTTATGTAACCATATTTGTTTATTTTAAACTTTGAATACCACAGGCTCAGCCTATTACTATTACATGTTGATACCTAGTTTGGTTGTTTTAATATCGTGAAGAAAACAATGTTTCACAGCATATACACGATAAATTCAGATTTGAATGCCAAAGGCAAAATTAAATATTTAAAATAGCAAAATCTTTTAAATTACTTCTTTAATTAGCTCCAGTTGTATTTTTTACATAAAGGGTACTGTAAAGTTTTTCGTAAGGTAGTCTAAAAACGTATTATTAACAGGTTGATATTTTTTTTAAACAACTTTGTTTTTCAGATATCTTAACGTAAGTACGTAAAGTTAATCCTCCAAGGCTTCTTCTTTAAAATTTCTAAAAACAAGGTGTAAGGGACATCGTACCGAATACTGAAATAGTGTATTCAGACCATCATTCTGAGTCGAAAATTAACGGAATTTTCCGACAAAAAATTTCAATGATTTTTGACTCAGAATGATGGTATTCGTTACGACGTCCCTTGCACTGTGTATATTAGCGACCATTTTTGGATCAACTTCTTTTATCTCTATTAAACAGTTTAAGATCCATGTTCATTCTAATTTTAGTGTGCCTAAGTGCCAAATTCTATTAAAATTGATTAAACGTCTTAGCTTAAATGCGAAATTAACTCTGTCTGTCTGTTAAGACATACAGAGTTACTTTCGCATTTACGAGTATAATATTAGTAGGGATAAGTTCACAAACCACGATATCATATTGGAACTGATGTCCAGGCCAATCTGATTCTGCCTTCAGTATGTCCCGCCATTTATCCTGGATCCTTCTAGCTTCTCGCTCTGATACTTCGTCGTCTCTTCCAATTACTATCTCGGCTTCTTCTGACGGAGAAGTAGGAGAAGGAAGGTGCGGTAGTATCTCAGATTCTGGTTCTACTTCGATTACTGTTGATTCATCGTACTGGGGAGGAAAAAATTAAAAAGGTGAAAAATCATAATTCATGGCCATGGTTTAATCCTATTTCTCGGTATTACTGATATTTTAAAGTAATTTTATGTACATCAAAAGAAACAAAATACATTTGTTGAAAACTCTTAATGAAGAAAATAAAAATACAACAAAATTTAAATTTTTTTAAATAGGTATAAGACATCCTTCACAGCGTAACACTGCGTCTAACTAAATATAAACTTTTTAAAAATATTAATTTAGATCGCTGCTAAGAATATGTTTTTTTTCCGATGATGAAAATGAATTTGTTTTTTGTTTAACTTACTAATTTTAATCTTCTAGGTACTATAATGGAGAGTTCAAAAAAAATGACAAAAGTAAAAAGAAATATTTGTTCATAACTTTAAAATAAGTTAAGATTAATAAATATATTTATGCATACTTACAACGCTAAAACTGTATTTGGCCAACGACGTGACAGAAGGGCTTGGTGGCGCTATAGGAGATCGCCTCCCATCTTGGGCTGCTAACGCCTTCTGTAGCTTCTCAAACCCCGCACCGCGAAGATATCTTTAATTCAAAGTAAAACACGCGTTACTATAGGAGCACCTTAACATCATTAATTTAGTTTTAATAGAAATAAAATTAATACTTGAGTTGACTTATTTTTTGTTACGAGAAGACTTGTTTACCAATTCCCTTTTTCATCTAGACTTCTTCAAGAATATCTTTAAAACAATTTTAACTCCAGAATAACATAATTCAATCAATTATATTTTTTTAGGAAAATACTTTATTCCTCACGAAATCTGGATCAAAAAATCTACGTACTGATTTGGATGTACGCCAACTGACCCAACGCCAATAAAATGATCTAACAGCTACGATACTTACAGAAGCATTAATAGTATAATGATCATAATTATCACACTTTAGCGTTTGTAAAGTGTGTGCCAATAATATATTCAGCGCCATATAACGGTTCGCAACTAAACTAGTCGCTAACTACTGATTCTGCAGCGCGCAATAAGTATTCTTACGTTGATTAGCATAGAAAATAAGTATCCTCAAAAAACGTTAGAAGGTTATGCCTGTTCCACATTCAATAAATATGGAATAGCGGTCAATCAAACACGTCTGTTTGATTGTCCCGTCGGACATCTGATGGAAAGTGACTATCACCGCCCATGATACCTGCAACTCAGGAGTCACGAGTACGTTGTCGCCGTTAGAGTCCCCCCCTCCCTTACAATAAGGGGGAGGGATTCATTTGACTCCGGTAGAATCAGCCCATTTGTGTCGAAGAATGACTTCTCTGTGTTAATCTTTAAGATATTTGGCGGATGTCATGGACGGCTATCAACGTGTTAATTGAGATAGAGAATCCATTGAAACAACGATCTTACCTCAGAGCTTTCAGTCGCACCACTGGCCCCTTGGCATCTCGGAGGAGAGCGACCGCTCGGTGGTTCGTTACACCATGAAGTGATACGCCGTCAACCTGTAATATACACACCACTATTTTATTAAAGATATTTTTGAAGTAAATTTGAAAGAGAGCAATTTAAGGTACTCTTTTGACCGAGTAGGTAAGCACACTGCAAAGTTAAACAGCACGGATGGCGTAGTAATTTAAGTGGTCGCCACGCCGTTTCCTACTACGCTGAGTGTTGTGGGTTCGATCCCCACTGGGAACTACACTTTGTATGATCCACAAATTGTCGTTCTGAGTCTGGGTGTTCTTTCTATCCGTTGCCTGTATGTTTGTAAAGTCCCCGCGACACAGGATTTCGTCCTACTGCGGTTGTCTTTAAAAAATCTTAGCCAGATTAGTCTGTGGATGGGTGACCAATCTTAACACATTGAAATCCCTTCGTGACTCGGAGAGCACGTTAAGCCTTTCAATAGAACTTTGACATTGCCTAGTATTTGGTCGTTGGTTCGTACGTTTTAATGGACACAATGAAATATATAGGGTTATTGAAAGAAAAGCACTTTTTTCAAAGGATTGCCGTAAAAAAATTTTTTAAACAATCAGAGAGGTAACCGACTCGACGTGGTAGGTCGTTTCGCCGATTGATGTAAGGGCCCTTTCACTCTCCAAATTCCTCTTTCACACACCTCAGAGAGGTGGCCCTGAAGGAGACAACCTAATTAGAGATCCCCGCAAGATAATAATTTTTCGTATCTATAAATAAAATTTAAGTGTGTCAAGTTTTTACTAAATGCATAGTAATTATATACGAGTAAATGTATGTGAATATATGTAACAAAAAACAGTTATACTTTTGTTTCTCTATCTGCTTGCTTCTGTACAAAGAGTTGATTCGATTTTGAGTGACTTCCACTACTTTTGTTTATAGGGGAATATAATGATTTTGCGCAATAAATAGAAGAAAGCGAAGCCACTGCGTTGGTAATCTATACATTTAAAATTACTTGCTGCACTGGTTGCAAATTCATCAAATCATCAACACATAGCCTAAACCATTGGGGCTTACCTAAAATTTGTGCAGCTGATGCTTTTGATGTTGTAAGCACCTACTAAGAAAAGATTTTTTGAAATTTACCCCTAAGGGGGTAAAAAAGGGGTGAATGGTTGTATGGAAGTTCGTAATTTTCTAAGACACGAAAAACAACAATAACGAGAGCGTAACCGTATTACCGAGCGTCTTTTCACACATTTCACACAGGGCCGCCTGATCCCATACTATGGTAACCAGACTGCTGATAAACATACTTATATATTTCTATATACACATGTATTATAGATAAAGTACACCCAGACACAGAACGAATGATCGTGCTCATCACTCAATTATTCGTCCTGGATGGGAATCGAACCCACCAAATAAATTAATAATAAATTCACTATACTTAATAATTCATTACATACTATTCAACATTTACATGTTACATGTTACAATTGGCCCAAACAGTATCATTAACAATACACTACTAAGCAATCTCCGTTAATAGATCCCAGCCCTTAATTAGCGTGTATTAATTAATGGTCTCCAATACCATGGGCCAATTAGTTTGCGCATTAGCTATTAGCTTAATTGGAACGACCAAATTAAGTAGGAATAAATATCATCATCATCAGCCTATCGCAGTCCACTGCTGGACACAGGCCTCTCCTATTGCACGCCAATTCGATCGATTTTCATATTAATACACTTTATTTCGTTACATACAAGCTGCAATACAGACTATTTAAATCTTATTTACTAATCTTTTTTTTTTTTACATTTCACACACGGCAGGTGTGATCAGATCCTAAACTAGGCAGAGCCTGTGCTATGGTAACCAGACTGCTGATTAACATACTTAAATATTTCTAAAAACATACATATTATAGATAAATTACACCCAGACACAGAACAAACGATCGTGCTCATCACACAAATATTTGTTGTGGATAGGAATCGAACTCACGACCTCCGGTTTAGCAGTCAGGGTAGACCAACAGGCCCGCCAACCTACATAATTCAACATTAAGTCATAGGAGTATTTAAAATCATTATTACATTTCAAGAAAGTAAAACAAGTATCAAATTTTTAGGCTACCGTGACTCTTGGTTTCTAACTGCAACATTATTAATGCAACTGATCAGCTTATTTATTTAAAACTGATTAACATGGTCCTTCGAGCCGAACCTGAATTGCATGGCAAACGAAAACTAACTCTAAATCAGTGAACCATAGCTACATTTCTTCTGAACCTAATCCTCATTAACTCGTTAATACAACATAATGCGAAGGGAAGGGCATTTAGCTCCGCTCCATTAATTCCGAATTAATATTCTTCTAGAGCTCTGTACGTGACGACTTCTAACTGGGCCAAGGATAATGTTTTGGCTTGAATCGTAATAAAGACGTTTTATAAGAAAATACTTACCCTCGGTTACTGAACAAAGTTGGAAAGATAGAGACGGTTTTTATGATCATGTTGCAAAAACTTTGATAATATTCTTTTATGTAACACATTTAAGAAATAAGAGACAAACTCTTAAAAACTCATAAAAAATCTCTAATCGATTTCAACATGCTACAATCTTCGCTTAACTCTGTTTCCGAACTTCAATTCTTGTTTGTTTCAAAGCTCCTATTAAGTTTAAATTATCCAAAAAAATATTTAATTTTAAGAAATGTTTTAATACGATGCCTATTTTCTTTTATACATTTTAGAATTTCATATTTTTTAAATATAGTAGGCCAAAACCTCCTTTCTAAGGAGAGGCCTATGTTCAGCAGTGGCTGTTGATGTGTGATGTGATAATTTTTATCGTTCGCAAGAAGACAATGACACGACAATTCCATTTTGAAGCAATATTACTTTGGAGATTAATTAGTTGAAAATTACTTCTCGAGTTCTGCTTAGAATTTCTCATTTAGGCCTCGAATCATGTAGAAACTTTTAGTAATCTTGGATCCACATTCGACATGTTTATTTATAAAAAAACTTTCGATTTTACAAAGGAATGGTAGTGCCATAGAATTGAATTGTAACGAAGCTTCACAATCCCTAAACGACTGAAGAGCTACGGGTACTGAGTGAAGTGCACTTCAGCCGGACGCTCGGACAAGCGCACCATTTTAAAGGGGATAATTTGATTTTTGCTCTGCGATTTATCCAAAGTATTTTGCCAGAATTTCATTTTTTAAACCATTCAGATAAATGCAGAAATATTTAATAAATACAAGTGGAAATACTCTATTAAGGTTCATTATTCGTATTTAAATAATATATTATTCACCGATACTTTTATTACGCGGCGTTCCTCTAAAAAATGTCAAAGAACAAAATTATAGTCAGCGATGGCTTGATCTGCTATTGGTCTATGATCAGTTTTAGTAGAAATGTTTTCAAGATTTGCAGTGATAAGGTATTTAATTACGTACATGGATCTCTTCTGCCGTAGACCTTAGTCATTTATAAAAGGTTCTGAAAGATCATGCTAATACGCTCAATTTTCAAGAATTCTTCGCCTTATCAAGTCTCTTTAAAATCTGTATTGAAATTGTTTTTTCTTACTTTTATTTTATTTCTAAGTTTGGTAATATTATTATTAATATTTTCGTTTGTAACTGTAGTGTGGTACAGGTAATTTTACGCAAATAGGTATGTAATTATACCTAAGTTAGCCTTATTAAAACATTCATGGCGACCCTGCCAGCCGCAAGCCTCTAAGTCCCTAGTTGCCAAGTATCGGATAGCGGGCGAATCTTGTAATTCAGCTGATTCCTGTGTGCCTCGTTGCACAAAGTTAGACCCTTTGAATATTAGAGTAATACGTGGACGTGTGTTATATAAAGCCTGCAAATTATAATAAGGACTTTGAGCTTTTAAACGCAGTTTATGTGTAGTGTTATATTTCAGGTAATATAGAGTAAAACACTGGATGGGTTAATACAGTGTTATAATGCCTGTTTGTAGCTTGTAATGCCGTAGTTTAGTTATATATATAGATATATATAAATAATATTTTCCCCTACAGATCGGAATATACAGTAGATAAAGTTTGGGCATGAACCAATTATTTAGATAGCTACTACATGTTAACGTTTGTCTTATTTTACATTTCATGGAAAGATAATTAGAAGTTATTTTAACTGGGTTAAAGGACATTCAGATTTATCTAAGAAAGTTAGGTCCACACAAAAGGTTACAATACACAAACAAGGTTAATGAAAGAATATTGAAAGCTAAAGAGTTATATTCTATATATAAAAATATACTTAACATTTTTTCTAAATAGAAAAGGTCATTAGAATTAACTGAGTATTTTTAAGAAGTATTGAAAGCAATAGATTTAGTTTACAATAAGATTAATATGGAGAAATTTAAAATTAAAACCGCGACATCTTTGTTCGGAAGGGACAACAGAAAAAGTAATTAACTCTGTAGAGTTATGTAACGATTGTCTGAAGGAAAGTGATCATAAAAAAATGTTAATTTCATTTGTTTTGAAAACAAGACTTAGTAAACCGCTAAATGGAAATTAAAGTGTAATTATGACGATGTTGCGAACCTGGTTAAGGAAATGTAAACTTATTTACTTACTAAGAAACCTGATAATTCTATTCTATGTCAGTTGCAAAATTTGCGACAAAATAATATGTTTATTCGTAAATTTGGCAATAAACTTTTCTGACTTATTTTTAGATCATACTATTGCACAATCTGACGGCGATGAAAAGGCGTATGAGATATTAAGACTTATTAATAAAAATTTCGCATCAATTTTTTTTTTGTAATGGTTTAAAAATATAATCGTCTAGGTACTATTGTTTCATCCCAAAACTACGCAGAGCTGAAAGATGCGATGCGTGCTGCTGAGAACGAAAAACTTGCGCAACCCTCAACTTCTGGTGACATCCAAAGCCCAAGGGGTCAGTCAAAAATAGATTTAAGAATATATTTAGCAGAGGAGGCCAATATAATTATTACAGTCAAGGTTCTAATTACCGTGGTAATATTACTTCAGGATAAGAATC